CCTGGGATGCCCGCCCCTTCCCTCCCTTCCAGATGCAAAAACTAACTGAATGGATGTGCACAGATCCCGGGGCGGGCTAACTGATTTGTTTTGGCAGGAGGCATTTAGAGGAACGCCAGGGGGCAGACGGACTTCGTCACAGAAGCAGATCAATTAATCCCACCCAGCTTCCACAAGCTGGACTGGGAGTGCCCAGCACTGCAAGGAGGCTGCTGCTGAGCCCATCAGGGTCTCCGGCAGAAAGGCTCGGGACAAGTCCGCAGACCCATGCCCTGGGCTCACCTAGCACTGGCACCGTGGTGTCTGCCTCAGTTTCCACTTCCCCGAGATTGGAGGTGAGGACCCATCCACCACCCGTGCAGCGGGCTTCGCTGCTGCCTGGGCAAGGCACTTCATAGCTTAAATCACGCCAGGGCTGAGCATCACCACAAGCAGGACTGACCCAAGGGCAAATCCAGGCAGTGGCAGCTTAACACAAGTTGGGGAGGGAGTCCCTTAACACCCCCCACTTGTTTAGCCAGGGAGGGAAGAAACTGGCCTCCTCCTTATATTTTATGTCTTTGCTCATCTGATTTTACCTTTAATGATCGGCATCTTTCCCCGTGCAAGAGGCATGGTCACAGCGGGCTAAAAAAGGGTGTCACGTCATCGGGACACAGCGATAGCATCTGGGTAGATGTAGTCCCTCGGCTGCAGCCAGTGGCCTGAGGAACAGGCTGACCCATCCCCAAGGGACAGGACAGAGTAGGGTCTCCCACCTACAAGGTTTTTAAAGGCTGGACCCTTCACTATCCTTAACATGAGGCAGAAGGAAGGGGAAAGCCCAGAAGTGACCCAAGGCCAGAGCCTTGCACTGAGGCAGACATAAGCTCAGCATCTGGCTGCAAAGATCTAGAGGACATAAACTCCAGTATGAAAAAAAAAAAAAGCAGCAGTGGTGAGGGAAGGCAAACGGGCAAATTAGTTCCAAATCAGGGAAAGGAAAATAGAAGATGGCTGTCAAAAAACAGCCTTGGCTTTTGGACTGCGGAGGCGGTAGCTGGTGGGATGTAACGGTGGTACCCGAACAGACATGGAGCTGAGCTGGTAGAAATAACCCTGCTCTGGTCTTGGAGCTCCTCAGTGGCTTAACTCTGCAGCAGGGGGAAAATAGAAATAAAATGTCCCTCAGAGATACAGGACAGAGCTAGCAAGTGGCCGAAGGGATGGCGAGTGCCCTCACAGGCTGCTGTTGGGATGGGTGGTGGGAGGCAACGGGGATGCTGGGGCAGTAGCAGAAGGTCTGTCCTGGGCAAGACCACTGGGATGTTAAGAAAGACGGGATCCTTCCTAACTCACAGCTACTGCAGAGACCTTCACAACGTCCCAGCCAGGCTGGATGTTAGGGTTATTTCTCCAGAAGCCTGTTGTTTTCATCTCTTTTAGTCAATAAGGTTTTTCCCAGAAGTTCAGAGAAAGCAGGAGCAAGAAATGCCGTGGGGATGGATGTCCCTTTTGACAGACTTGTCTTGTTCCTCTGCAATTAAATGTGAGGACAATTGAGCAGCAGATACTTCAGTCCCAGTCTTTCTAGGATGTCTGTGCCCAGCAGAGACTGAGTAAGGGGCTGTGGGAGGGAGAGGAGGGCAGCAGCACCTTCCCCTCCCTGAGCCCATTCGGGGACCTCTGACAGCAGAGCCCTTGGCCAGTGGAGCCCAGGTTTCCTGGCTGAAGGGACCATCGGTGCCCTGGTGGCATTAAACGGTTCCTGGGTTACGGTTCTTACACTTCCTTAAACTGAAACATCTAGCAACCTCAGGAATCATCGCTTTCATTATCAGAAACAGCATTTTCAATACCCTGCCATAAACATCATCTGCTTTTGCCAGATTCATACTGTTATTAAAGCAGTCACTCCTTCATGCCCCAAGTCCATGAGACGTTTCATTATATATCTTAGCACACCTTGGTATTTCCACGGGTTTCAGCAGCATGATGCCCACACTGGAAGCCAGACGTATCCTTAGGTACACTCGAATATTACCGTAAAGCTGTCACCTTCCCCATGCCTACTTTTATTGGTTTCAGCCACAGCTGGGCAAACAGTACTTCCATGTCTGCCTGGCCTTTTGCACGTGAGCTACAGCTTTCCAGATTTCTCTCTGCAGGGAAATGCTATTTCATGGTGACAGCCATTTACTAAAAAAATGCCAAAAAACCACCCCAGCCCCAAAGAATTTATGCTCTTATTCAAAGAAACACATGAAGTCGGGTGAGGGCAGCGACTGTGACATCCAAGCCAAGTACTCTGTGTGACAGACATCCCAGCCAAGTGCCCTGAATAGGAGGGTGACGGCACACCTCGCCTTTATTTACACCCATCATGGGCCAGATCCTCAGCAGACACAGTTTGCTGGGCTGCAACAGAATCGCACTGACTCCCGTATCCCTCTGGGAGTTATTTTGAGCATCTCAGCCTTCTCAAGGTCAGCCTCCCGGCGTGCAAGCAAGGCACTCGCATGCAACTCTAAGTGTGTGTTGGTGCTGGGGAAGAAGAGATAAACAGCAGGACCAGGGAAATTAGAAACCCTAAAGTAACCTTAACCCCAGCCCAGCACAGATGCGTGGATCGCTCCAACAGTAACGCTTTGGATTCAGATGCTCTTGATCAGAAGCAAGTGCCGCGTTTCGGTATTCGACAGCTCCCTCCCTCCCTCTTTTCCCAGCTCCAAGCAGTAATGAATGATACATCAGTGCCTGGTGGCAGGAGATCTCGCTTCAGTCATTAGGAGGTCCGTCTCTGGAGACTGCCGGGGTGAGCCAAGTCCTTCTTGGTACTCGTTACGCCACGAGGCCGTAGATCAGAGGAGCTGGGATCTGAGACGAGCCGCGGTACAGATGCCTCGTTGTGGCTGTATAGAGACAAAGACGGCAAGAAGCCCTGCAGGCTTTTTAAGCCTCACCGGCAGCCCATGGGGTTGCTCGCAGAGTTTCCCTGCCCCTCGAGGCCACCGAAATATGTGGTGTGATAGCATCCCAAGAGAGCTGAGCTCTCCTGCCCGCTCTCTGCCCGGCCCTTAGCCCACAGCTCCGGGCACGGCTGTTTGCTCTCCCTTCTCGCCACTTGTTGATCTTCCTTCTTTCGAGCGGAAGCGGTCTGGCACAAATCAGTAGTTATTTATTAACCCCGAGAAGCAGAGAGGCTGCAGCACCTGAGCTCTCAGACAGGCTCTCAGCTCATTTTTCGGGAGGAGCAATGGTTTATGGAGGTGGGTGAAACACAGGAGTGACAGCCCCGTGATGCCGGTGCCGGCATGGTGGAGGTACGCAGGCTGGAGAGCTCTTGATCAATTCACAGAGCAAATAAATCCAAGGATCCCCTCCAGAGAAGTGTAGGGATGCAGAGCTCTGCACAGAAATGGGTTGCCAGCCAGCTGTGGTCTGCACGCTAAAAGCCAGGCTGCCTTAAATACAGCCTCATTACGCTCGTTATCAACAAACTGTTTGTCTCCTCCTGCAAGCTGAGGCAGCACTTTCTACTGACACAGCAAGTTCCCTGCTCCCAAAAACGAGAGGGGCTGAGCCCCAGAGCAGAGAGAGGGGAGGTGGCTGCTGGGGAAGGGACTGGGAAGGAGCGGGGCAGTAGGTGCCAAGGGGAGCGCTTGGAGAGGAAGATGAAGGCAAAACCCCAAGGGGAGGAAGGGCACGGGACAATGGTCAGAGGGAGGAGAGAAAGAGAGCTTGGGCACTGGCACACTGGAGATGTTGGAGAACAAGGTGAGATGGAGATGGTGGAGGACAGGGTGAGGTAGAGATGGTGGAGCACACGTTGAGATGAAGATGGTGGAAGACAAAGTGAGATGGAGATAGTGAAGGACATGGTGAGATGGAGATGTTGGAGAACACAGTGAGATGGAGATAGTGAAGGACATGGTGAGATGGAGATGGTGGAGGACAAGGTGAGGTGGAGATGGTGGAGGACAGGTTGAGGTGGAGATGGTGGAGGACAAGGTGAGATGGAGATAGTGAAGGACATGGTGAGATGGAGACATTGGAGGACAAGATGAGCAGCAGGGAGGTGACAGGCAAGCAGGGATGGAGGGAAAGGCCACCGCTGCCTTTCGCTGGTGGGAGAGGGCAGGAGGAAGGTTTGCACCTTAAAGCACAAAAGTGGGCTGTGTTTCCTGGAAGACAAGGCATAAAAAAAGGAAAGGAACCGTGTAAGCTGCCAAGCCGGACCAGAGGTGAGCTCTGCCTTGTCCAGGGTGGGATCTCCAAAGGGGCCACCACATGGTGCTCTGGGGTGCCTGGGGAAACCCCGTGGTCAGCAGATGTAATTGTCCTTACACACCAGTCACCTCGATGCAAAGCAGGGCCAAAAACCCCCATCTAATTTTAGGCAAGGTAAGAAAGGTGAAAGTGATGATGAGAAAAGAGTCTGTGACTAAGGCAAGACCACACACCTGGGTCTGGGAGGGGTTCTGCCTTGTGACCTTGGGGACCTGTCCCTCACCGTACTTCACCTCTTTGGCTGTGGAAGGAAGCAGCTTCCAGGGCTTCCAGAAGCTTGTGCCCAGTTCCCAGCACATTATGGCAATGGTGGCCACAGGAGCATGAAGATAGGAAAAGCTGAGGCAGGGCTATGAGAAAGACACCAGCATTTCCTTAAGGACAAAGCGGAGAAGGAGCTGAAACACTCCTCTGCTCTCCAGGAGAGCTCCTCCTCCAGAGCCCGGCTCAGATGCATCAGAAGGACATGAAAAGGAGACATCAGGAAGCATCTGGGGGTGCAAGGCCGGGTGGGAGGAGGCGAGGCTGCCCTGGAGAGATACAGGAGGCTGGAGCGGTGGGTGGTTTGGAAGGAGAAATGCCTCTTCATTGCGCTCCTGTGCTGCAGGGCCCCTGGCACTTGTCCGGTGCTTAGCAGCTCTGTTGCAATATAAATGATAATGGACAATAAGAGATGATTTGCATGAGAGTGACCACTGAAGACATAGGGTGTATGGGGAAACAATAAGGGAGGAGAGGAAGGGGACCTAGGACTTGGTGAGGATGAGGGATCCAGGTGACCAAGGCCAGAGCGGCCAGAGGGGAGCTGGGGAAGGCAAAGGGCAGGGGGCTGCCGGAGCCGGGGGATGCAGGCAGAGCTCCCTGTGCCGCAGGGGTTGGCAGGCGCAGGTGGGTGGAAGCAGCCGGAGGGGCAGGGAGAGGAGGCAGCCGGGTGCCCTTTGGAAGGTGGCTGTCGTATCATCATTTTGGCCCAAACAGCAGGAAAGAGAAGAGATGGGAAGGATGAAAAAAGGAAGTGGGAGGAGATGGTGGCAATGGGGAGAGGGCAGCTCCGGGTGCCCCCGGCTAGAGATGCTCAGCAGCAGCAGGGCTGGAGCGGGGCCAAAAGGAGAGCCACGGGGAAGTCAAGGACAGGAGCTGCTGAAACACACCGTGGGAAAGAGCTAAAGCGCTCGTCACGAGTGTAAGCTGGTGTCAGCGGGGCGCGGCTGGCGGGAGGACCGGGAAAAAAGCACAGAAATTAGGGCAGCAGGGTGCCCCGGGGACAGGAGGAGCAGGAGGCGAGGAGTGGGAGAGAGCTCCTGGGGCCAAGAGGAACTGGTCCCACAAAGGCAAAGCAAGTGGCTCGGCTGCGGGAGGGTTGCGGAGCTCGATGGGCTGGACACGCCGGTCTGCTGGAGAAACCTCCATCTGCCTGGCAGACACTGACGGCAAACACTGGCTTGGCCGCGGCAGAGAGGGGTCTCTCCCCCACCGGGTTACAGTGGAGGAAGGGGCAAAAGACATTTGCTCTGTGCAGGGTTTGCCTCCGGCAGCCCTGCTGCTGGGAAGAGAAAAGCGCGTGAGAGCTTCAAAGAGCCTGCCGGGAGCTGCAGGTGGGATTTCTGGCCCGAATCCAGCCTGGCTGGATTTTCAGGAGGATGCTAAACCTACAGAATAATTTCAAAGGTGAGGCATTCTGGACACTCAGCTGACACAAAAAGGCACGCAGGCTCCCAGACTGCCGGCCTGCTGCCTTCCCAGAGGTCTTCTCCGCTGCTGGGAGCACCAGTTAAGCACGCCACGGAGCCACGCAGGGTTTGTGACTGCTCTCCATCACTACTCCCAGAAGGATGCCCTGTACCTGCCGAAATCTCAGCAGCGGAGTGATGGGTGGGTGGTCCCGGCTCCAGCTGCAGGCTCCCAGGAGCAGAGCACAACGGGGGCTGTGGACATGGCATGGGAGGGTTTAATCCGAGGAGGAAAACAGAGCTCTTGTTCTTGCCTATGTGCCTGTCCGTGCTGGGTCACGGGGACCTCATGCCAGCAGCAGCCTCCCTACCCATGGTCCAGGGTTAATGAAGAGCAAGGGGTGCTTGTGCAGAGAGGTCCTTGGTGGTGTGACAGAGGAGGGGACATTGCTTGAGGGTCTACGATGTGGTTTTGGAGGCCCACGGCTCAGTGGGAATGAGGCACTCAGCAAGCCTACTCCCGGATCCAGCAAGTCGCAGGCGGCTTTCGGGACAGCCCCGTGGGTAAGCACTGCAGGAGGGGGAGAGAAAAAGTCACTGAGACGTGGTCTGAATCCGTCGCAGAGTCTTTTTAGAAAGCTCCTGGTCGATAAAAGCCTTTTAATATTTCGAGGTAGGACTTTGGGGATGATTTTCACAGACTGCCGCCGACACCTAGCGTTCAGCCGGCAGGAGCCCGGCAGGCTCAGCAAGGGCAGGATGCCAAGGACACGCAGCCCCACGGCCTGCAACCCTCTGGCCCCAAAGTGGGCAGCCAAGCGGGCACCGCCACGCTGTGCCAGTCCCTGGATACCCTGCTGGGATACGGGAAAGGGAAGAGGGGTAAAGTCTCCTGGTCCTTTCGTCCCACATCCTCGTGGCTCCAGCTGCCTGGGTCTGCTGAGTGCTGGCTGAAGGGGCAGTTTGGGGACAGGGGCAGGGACAGGGACACATCCCTGCGAGAAAGGGATGGAGCCCGACCCCTCGTCTGCTGGGCTCAAACTGCAGGGCTGCTGCTGGCAGGCAGTGCCATCGGCTGCCTGATGATGCCATCGCTGCCTGGCAGTGCCATCACTGCCTGTTCATGGCATTCGCTGCCTGGCGATGCCATCTGCTGCCTGGTAGTGCCATGCACTGCCTGGCTGTGCCATCTCCTGCCTTGCCATTGCCATCTCCTGCCTTGCAGTCCTATCTCCTGCTTTGCAGTGCCATCCACTGCCTGGTAATGCCATCGCTGCCTGCTCGTGGCATTGGTGCCTTGCAGTGCCATCCGCTGCCTAGCTGTGCCATCCACTCATGCATCCATCCACGCACTGCCTGGCAGCCTGGACGAGGTGGGGACAGGCCAGTGACACGGACATGCACTACCCTTACCCACTGCAGAGCTGTCCCAAGGCAAGCCCATGAAAGCCGCAGCAGACTCCCTGATAATGAAGAGAGCAGACTGCGCTGTCGGGCTTGAAATCTGCCAGCAGCAGAGACGCTACACGAGCTGCATAAGCCCTGCAAAAGGAACTCATTAACCCAGGACTGCTTAATATGCTGGAGGCTCTTGCACAGCCCTGGAGCTGCAGTAGGATGCCGTGCCAGGTTTTGCCCGCGCAGACCCTCAGCGCAGCCGGAGGCACAGGGATGCACACCGAAACCGCAGCCGGCCTTCTCGCTCGCGGACCGGGTGAGCCGAAGCCCGGCGGTGCAAGGCCAGGAGGCTACGACACGGTGGGAAGGATGCGTTAGTGCCCATGTGCATGGGGTGCGCGATGGCACCTCAGTTCCCTTGTGCACCCGTGGGGCCCAAAACTGACACTGCCCCACTCCAGGGACCATGGGGACCTGGTTTGCCTGGTTGGGAACAGCAATGGGTCACTCTTCCAGGTCTTCTCTACTCCCAAGTGTTTCCAGTCCACCAGTATTACAGTGCTTGGCTTCACAAGCTCAACCCATAGCGGAGCCAGGGTGCAAACGTCACCTTGGGGTGTTTTATGGCACCCCAAATGTTCAAATGCAAAGAGGCAAAGCCTAGCCCTCATCTGCTGTACGGGTACCCTACAAGCGCAGTAGGGGTTGTGGGTTATGTCTTTTATACATCTCCTAATTATTTTATGTAACTTCTTTTTTTTTTTTTTTTTGATCTCAGGTCCGGGATAAGAAACTCCTCAATGACTTGAATGGAGCAGTGGAAGATGCCAAGACAGCCCGACTTTTTAACATCACCAGCTCAGCCCTTGCCACCTTCTGTATCATCCTCATCTTCATCTTCCTGCGATACCCCCTCACTGACTACTAGAGTGAGGCCAACA